AGAAGGGGCATGTGGACAAGAGTGGAGGAGGTTGCCGGAACCAAAGCTGGAGATGACGAGGGGCTGGAGATGCAGGAGAGTGTAGGTAGTAGGGTCGGATCTTAGGAACATGATGGAGAGTGACATGACAGGACTTGGACATGGCCTGCACACGCAGGTCAGAGGGGTCAAAGACGTCTACCAGGTTGTAGCCCTGAGTGACTGCGAGGCTGGAGGTGTTGTCAGCAGTGATAGAGATCGGGCAGAGGAGAGGGCTTGGTAACAAAGTCAATGAGTTCACCCCCCTCCCCTCCCTACTCCCCAGCGTAAGAGAGGGTAGGCTGGGGTCAGGGGGCTTCCCTTGGAATTCAGTCCCTACTCAACCTTGGTCAGAAATACCCTAACCATGCTGCAAAGCCCATATCTACTGTCCTATCTTCTCACCTGGGCAAGTGTAGGAGTCATGGGGCGGTCGCTGTCTGAGGGAGGGAAGGGCTTTGCTAATTTCTAGACTATCTGGTTTTGGCTGATTTGCTTGATATGTTTTGTGGGCTGGGGCCAATCCAGGTTGATCTTGCACAAGTGCCTAACGCTCCAAAATAGCAAAATAAATCATTTGAAATCTGAAAGCTGCAGATGAAAATGGAGTATGAAGTTCATCGTGTCTCCCCCAAGCACTCAGGTACCATGGTGATGGCACTGAAAGAAACGCTCATGATAACACAAAAGGTAATGCAAAGGTATGCAGGGAAAATCGGAAAGTCTTCTGAAGAAAAGGGTTGGCGTCACAGATCTGATGTGTAGAGCCAACTCCAGACGTGAGAGAACTGGATGCAGTTGCATCTTATTCACAGTTTGCACTCTGAAGGCTTCAACTTCCAGCCACTAGAACTTGTTCTGCCTTTGCCTGCCAGATTAAAGAGCCCTCCGGTAGCTAATATCTTATCATTTGTACTTACACCCCTGGATCCAGGCTTTCCTTAATTTGAGCTGCTCGATATTTACCACCCAACCAATGTTTCTATCAGCTCCAGACCTTGTCATCCATTCCCAAAGGGGTTGCACCCCGTGAGCCAGAGTGGAGTGCGGCATCTCACGTGTGTCGTGTCTGTTCACCATCTCATATGTTTTATTGACAGGACAGACGTTGATGTGAAACTTTTGGAGGATGCTCCTGCAGGGCAACCTGTCAGCTCCCAATGGCACAGGCTCTGATCCGTCCATGTTCTTCCTGACGGGCATCCCAGGGCTGGAAGCTCTGCACCCCTGGATCTCCATCCCCTTCTGCTCGATGTTCACCGTGGCCCTTCTAGGAAACTGCACCCTCTTGTACGTTATCAAGACAGAGCCCTCCTTACACAAGCCCATGTTCTATTTCCTCGCCATGCTGGCCGTCATCGACCTGGTTTTATCCACAACCACCGTGCCGAAAATACTGACCATCTTCTGGTTTAATTCCAGGGAGATCAGCTTTAACGGCTGCCTGGTGCAGATGTTTTTCATTCTCTCGTTCTGCACCCTGGAGTCTGCTCTGCTGCTGGCCATGGCCTTTGACAGGTACGTGGCCATCTGCAACCCCCTGCGGTACGTCACCATCCTGACCAACTCAGTGATAGCAAAGATCGGGCTGGCAGCTTTGGCTCGGGCTGTTCTGCCAGCAGTCCCTTTGCCTTTCCTCATGAGGAGGCTGCCCTTCTGCCAGTCCCACGTCATCTCCCATTGCTACTGTGAGCACATGGCCGTGGTGAAGCTGGCCTGTGCTGACACCAGGTTCAATAACATCTATGGGATCATCGTAACTGTCTTCATCGTGGGGCTGGATCTGATGTTCATCGTCCTGTCATACATCAAGGTTCTAAGGGCTGTCTTAAGCCTGGCATCCAAGGAAGAGCAGCTCAAGGCTTTCAGCACCTGTGGCTCCCATCTTTGCGCCATCTTAGTATTCTACATCCCCGTGGTCCTCTCCTCAACAGTACACAGGTTCGGGCGCCATGTCGCCCCACACGTACACATCCTGCTGGCCAATTTCTACCTCCTCTTTCCTCCCATGATGAACCCCATTGTGTACGGTGTGAAAACCAAACAGATTCGCATCCGAGTGCTTCTTCTGTTCCGAGGGAAGAGCATCTAGGCTGAGCAGGAGGGGGCTGTGGAGACATCAGGAAGCAGAGGATGCAGGAGAGGTTTTTTGAGTTAATTAGACAGCATGCTTGTGGGGGCTTTGTGTATACTGGGATGGGAACTCCACCTCCGACTCACAGGGAGCAATACACCGACCCCTACACGAGCGTAGCGCTGCTGGCCGGAAGGTGATCTTGGCCATGACCTTGTCCTCCCTTGGCCCCGTGTGTGGAGTGTGAAGGAGTGTGAAGAGGAGTGTGAAGGCTCCTTGCAACTTCTCTTTCTTTGCTGGAACATCTGGCTTTTATTACTGACACACCCAGCCACAGCCACGGAGGTGCATGCTGCAGGAACAAATGCTGTATCTGCCCCTCAAATTCAGTCACCTCTGAAATGTAGCAACACACCTGGGGCCATTTAAGCACCAGAATAAGCTGAGTGCTGGGCTCTTCTGTGCCAAACGTGCCACGATGGAAGCTGCTGGGTGACAACCTTGTTGTTGTTGTTGTTGTTGTTGTTAATCTGGCCTTAGTTGTGGTTTCTGAACATTTGAGAGTCTGTCCCCAGTGGTTTAACCCTACCACACAGCAGCACAATGCACTAGGTCGAGAGAGGGGGGGCGAGGAAAGGTGTATCTGCCTCAAAGAGCACTTCGAAAATCTCCAAATCCTCACCAGAGTGATCTCAGGCACAAAGTGTTCAAAGTTCACTTTCTGATACTGACAATAAATAAATGAAACAGAGTATTCTCTCTCTCTCTCTCTCTGTCTCTCTCTCTCTCTCTCTCTGTGTGTGTATAACATACTCAGGAAAAAGTCTTGCTCTACTTTGCTATCACCTTTGTCCTGTTGCTTAATATATGCTGGATAACATATTGATATATATCGCATTCATAATCTGTATTTTCTGCACCATATATATACTAGTAGTATGCATTAAGTACAAATAACATTAACCACAAACATAATAAAAAAGAACTATATAAGTTAAAATAAGAACTAGATAAGTTCATGGAGGATAGCTTCATCAATGGCTATTAGCCAGGATGGACAGGGATGGTGTCCCTAACCTCTGTTTGCCAGATACTGGGAATGGGCGGCAGGGGATGAATCATTTAGGATCATAGAATATTAGGGTTGGAAGAGACCTCAGGAGTTCTGTGACATTATTGAAACAAACTGTGACAGTATAGACCATTGTTGCCACTATAGTGGCACCAAATCTTGTACAAAGGAGGTCAAATAAGGTGTCTATGAGGAGGTTATGATTTGCTGGTTATGTTTATGCTATCTGTATGCATGTATCATTTTTGTATTTAAAGTTATAAGTATTGGCTCTATACTGTCTGTAGTTCAAACTTGTGCTATGCTTCTGGGTGACACCCCAGACAATGTGGCATCAGCACTGCCTAGCCTGCTGGATGGCCCATTAAGGACCATCAGCTACACAACTGACCCATTGAGAGAAGGTAGATACACCTTGTGACTCAGCAAGGCATTCAGGGACATGCCTATGGACAGAACGCTAAGGTTTTTCTGTGCCATGTGCTGAACAGCTTGTCTTGGGGACAAAGAAAGCAGAGGCCACATGGCAAGAGACTATAAAAGGCTGCTGCATCTCCTCCATCTTGTCTTCAGTCCTGCTTCTGACCTCTGGA